TAGAAAGAATTAAAATTTTAATTGATTCTAATGCAATTAATTTTTCCATAAGCAATATTTCATGAAAATTCAAATGCTAAAATTGATTTTTAATTAAAAATTAATTTTTCTATAAGCAATTTTTGAAAGAACTAAAGTTTTAAAATTTATTTTTATTAAAAATTAATTTTTTTGTAAAATTTAAATATTAAAACTGAGTTTTAATTGAAAATCAATGTTTACAGAACAGTATTTTAAAAAATTAAAATATTAATATTAATTTATAATTAAAAATTAATTTTTCTATAAGCAATATTTAAATAAACTGAAATATTAAAATTGATTTTTATTACAAGTTAATTTTTCTATAAGCAATATTTCAAAAAAATTTAAATGTTAAAATTGATTTTTAATTAAAAGTTAATTTTTCTGTAAATAATATTTAAAAAAATTGAAATATTAATATAATTTATTAAATATAACTCTTGCAGTTTAAAATTAAATTTTTTTTTAAATATATCTTTTGCTCGAAATAAGCATATTAAATATTTCCCAAAAACTTCTTGAAAAAAATTTACAAAAATAGTACGGAATGTCAATATAGGCAGGTATGATTAATATATTATATTAATTAATATAATACGAATAAAATTAATATGGCAGGAATTAGCAAGAATTAATAAAAAACCAAGCGAAAAGTTTTAAAATATAAATGATAACATTAATTAATTTATAGAGGTTTAATATTTGCATTACAAAATAAATTGCAGTATTAATTTTTTTATATTCTAGAATAATATGTACCAAAAAAAAACTACTTAATGTCAATAGAGAATTGTAATATATATCGGTATTATTAAAAAAACAAGTTCTAAAATCTAAATTATAAAATGAATCAAATTAGTAGACTTTTAACTATACTACGACGCTAAATCTCCTTTTAAACCATAATTTATAGTCTTCCATAGTTGTGAAGAGGACGATGAAAATGCTTCCCATCTGCTTTATTTCTGTCCCATGAGTCGCCGTTTTATAACTTTAGGGGCTTTCTTTTTTAACGAGCTTGGCAAACTGCAAGACCTCCCTCTGAATAGCATTATAAGCTTTACCAAAGGTTCTGAATAGTTCCAACTCTTGAGTTGTTTATTATACTGTAACACAATAGGTTTAAGTGGATCCCTTGAGATCACCGGCATGACCTAACCTAACCTAGTAGAGTTTTATATTTGCATTACTCAAAGTAGACTATTTCCGTCAATAGACGGATGTCATGCATCGAAAAATTATAAAAAAAATAACTGTATACATATATAACTATATAATTCAAAACTAATCAGTTATCAAGTTCTTTCAGCAGTTAAGAACTGCTGATCAGTCTTTAAGATCGCAGTTAACTTCTTGTTGTTTGCATAGGTAATCTTGCTAGAAAAATAGTTTATTTTTAGTAATCATAACACAGCTTATTTTTAACTTAACTGTATCAGCAGTTAGGTAGCTAGTACTTACACTACTACAGCCTTCATAGATAAGTTAGTCCTTTGGATATACATATATCGGTAATTGTAGAACTGTCACGTGACTACCTCATATACTATGTATATTACACAGGTTTCTTATTCGTATTTCGTTATAACTTACTACTACATGTCGCTCCTGGTCGATAGGTTGCTTCAATTTAAGCAAAAAAACCGAGTGTAAGAGAATGACTAATAAATAATTTACAAATTTTCCAAAAAATTTATTGAACATTTTTCTATATAAGATTCATAAATGGATTCAGAACTATAATTTCTAAACTAATTTTTGCGCACTAAAAAACTTATGCACAAAGTGTCTTAATACTTAATGTGTCTTAATGTAAATTTAAAGGACATTTATATGATATGACTTAATCTATTTTAATGAGCTGTTTTTGATATTTCGACAGTTTTTTACCGGAAGGTTTTTTAGAACCTCTCTTTTGCATCCCGCTTGTGGTTTAATACTGAATCTCGATTACTAAATACTTTTTATGAGAAAAAAACGACATATATAACATCAGTAGTAATAGGCATTTTAGCTAAACATTATATTTCTAAATATTTTGTTTCTCAAAAATATATCGACAAAAACATAGCGTTCATAAAAGTCTTGATGTTTTTTAAGTTTTAGGTTTACCGAATTACATCTAATTATAAGTGGTTAAAGAAAAATTAAGGAAACTTTGTGTAGAATTAAAATTTTGCAAATAAAAAAATTAGAATAGCTATTGGACTTGTTACGAACCATTCTTTATACCAAAATCATCCGGTAAAAAGTCCATCCTTACAACGCTAGCAATCACTTTACAGAAGATTCAAGAAATTAACTTTGAGCTATAATTTCTGAATCCATCTGCTCCAACATAAGCTTACAGCATATATAAGGATTACTTGATATTTTTTTACTCGTTTAAACCAATAATATAAAAGGTTTTTATAATTGATTTATTTATTGAACTGACCTATGTTTTTTCCTCTAGTGTAAATAGATTTAAAAGTTTTGATAAATTAGTTTAAATATTGCTATTAGGCATACAATGCATATATATATTTTTACTTATTCTTCCGATATACTTATAATATAATTATTACAAATTAAATATAATATTTTATTTATTAATTGTCTCAATCAGTTCTGTGTTTAATTGTCCGTCTGTTATCATTAAAATTAAAAAGAAAATTAATTTTTAAAAGAAAATTTTTCGCATTTTATATACAAAAAATAATTTTAAATTAAGTAAAAAACTTAAAATGTTTTCAATAATCAATTTTCTCCACGTTTAACCCTAATAGATTTATTCCAAATAAATAGCAAATAGTTCAAAATTTTGATTATTAATTTTTTTTCTTAATTAAAACTAATTTTTGCAAAGCTTTCAATCTTTGTAATTTTCTTCTTACTGCTTTTTTGTATAATTTTCGTATACGTTTACTGCATTGTACGTCTTATCTATCTCTTTTACTCTATATCTATCTATCTATCTGTCTCTATCTCTATCTCTGTCTCACTGTTTATCTCTCTTCTCTTTCTTTTCCATTAAATATTAATTAAATACCTAAATATATATAAACAAAATAAATATATTAATATAAAAAAAAATTTAAAAATTCCCCTCTAAAAATCTTTTATAAAACAATTTTGAAATCGTTTAAAACTATAACAAAACAACAACAATGAATGAATGAATTATCAAACAATAAATCAAAACATCAATTTAGTATACTCGGCATGAATCTATTCGGATGTAAATTCTGCGAGAAAGTTAATGGAGAGACGATATGCGATCGTAAGAATTTCGACAGCCTTCTATGGGCGCTCGTCACTGTATTTCAGGTAGAATTGCTAAGAATTTTTTTTAAAAATATTTTATATATATAATAAATGTTGCAACATATTTGTTTAAAAAATTTTACATATAATTTATCGTGTGTTATAATTTTTTTTAATTTATTTTTTAATTGTTCTCAATGCTTCTACTAAGCCTTTTTGCTTTTAATTATTTTTTTATCAGTGTGTGTGTTTTTGCATTTTAGGAAATCAATCATATAATATTTTTAAAGTAATATTAATTTTATTTTATTATTTTTTTTTTTTATAATTTATTATAATTTTATTTATAGTTTAATATGTTATTATAAACAAAACTTATTTGAATTGTTAGCTAAGCTGTTATTGAGTATTTTGATTTTGGAGTTTGCGGTGTGTGTTCCGTTCTAATTTAGGTGGAAAGTAAATTGTAGATATTTTAAGTATTTTCTAATTGTTTGAGTGAATTTTGTTTAAGTAAATTTTACAACAAATGTAATATTTTTTCAACACACTGAATAGTTAATTGATTGTAAAAAAAATAGTAGGAATTGTATGATTAAAATAAAATGTTTTGAAATAATTTTTTGAAAACATTAGCTATTGATTCGTAAGTCCAATCTTCTTCCGTAGTTGCATGTTTAAGTTTTGTATCTTTCGACTAAGGTTTAAGAATTTCGTTTTTGAAACTAAAGCACAGTATAATGTATCAAGACACAGGTAAGCTTGAATTAAAATATTTTAAATATGAAATTGAGAATTTGTTGTTTTTTAGTTTGTTGTTGTAAAATGATCGTATTCCAAACTGTTACGAAGCTCACCAAAATCGTGAATTTGTTTGAAATCGTTTTGAATGCATTTTGATTTCATTAATGCCTTACAAAATCAATACAGAAAATCAATACAGAAATTGAAAAATTTATTAATTAAAATCATTTTCATTCACTTTCATTATTTTACTTAATTTCATTAATTAAGTAATTATTTCAAATTATTTCTTTATAAAAATCAAATACTTTAAACTTAATTTAAAGCACGAGTGTTACTTTATATAATTTAAGCAATATATAAATATAACGATATTTCGATAACCCTGTCGCTACAAGTTGGCAACAGATTTTAGTAGATTTCAATATTTTAAACAAATTACTTCAGCGCGCTATATGTTGATATCAAAATTACTTACTTACTTATCTAAATAACCAAAAAATCCCGTCTACAACCCACAACTCCTCTTCAGATGACTCTACTGCTTGCACAGCCTCTGCAGTTTCGTACATCAAGTGCGATAAGTACTCCCTCAATTTATTCATTCCACCGAAGACACAGTGTACATCCACTGTACACTTTCTTTCTCCAACTGCCGCTTTATATAACTTTTTCGTTAGAGTATCGTCATCCATTTTCATAACACGACCAAGCTAAAGAATTCACAGGATGTTAATAATTTAGTAACAACTCTTAAATATGCATTGGTATAGCCAAGACCATAGGTATACTACAAAATATTTTTCTTTCGACAGTATTCCTCCAGTGTTTCCAAAATTTCATTGTCAAACCTTATGGCTAATATTTGTACTCAAATAAAAAGATCCATATATATCAAGAATTTATAGTTTTTATTATTTGTAGATTTTGTTGTGAAGAATGAAAGGAGATTTATACTCGAAATCAACCTCCTCCTTCACCCACTGAATGCGCCAATGACTAGATATTGTCTAGTCCTTTTAAATGTTCATTATTAACATTAAATTGATTGTAAGATTTTACAATATTTCATTGTTGCAACTCCTTTAGTACCATTATTTCTTATGTCCTTAATTGGAAACCATTAAAAATCATCGTTTAAGACTTTACCTACTTAATCCACCTTTTGAGGAATGAATTTTAAAGAGATACATAGCATTAAGAACGTAAATGTCCATTTATTTCATTCCAAAAATTTTATTAATGGTTTCGCTTCCTTCTTAAGAACCAGAGGACACATTAAGTCAGAATCTTCAAAGAACGAGCCAAAGGAATAAACTTCTAAAAATATGGTATCATATAATATATACCTTTCTGAATATGATTTAAATAATAATTATGCAAATTATTCACGAAAATATCAACAGGTGCCATTATAAGAAATTAGTTATAATCCAATCATATCAAGTTATCAATTTGGTAATAATTATTATATCGATTTTATTAAGAACGAATCAATTTATGTACCTT